CGCTGGCGGTGCCACTGAGAAGGGCTGGCTGCTTCCTTTCAGAATCTCACGGGCTGTGCGTGCCTGACGACCGGCCCGCCTGAGAACGCCACCGTGGTCCCCGGCAAGTGCCCCAGCCCCGGCTGCCAAGAGGCCTTCCTCACCTTCCTGTGCGTGATGTGTGTCTGCAGCATGATCGGGGCGATGGCCCAGACGCCCTCGGTCATCATCCTCATCAGGTGAGCTGGTAAGGCCCCCGGGCCTGTGACCCGCCTCACTCCCCTCCCCGCCCGGCCCGAGGCTGCTGGGAATCAGTCCCACTGGCCTCACACCACGCGTAGAAGCAGGGCCCACGGGAGAGAATCAGTCCCCACAAATGAATGTGCAAAACTAGGACCCAGGAGCCGGTCCCAGCGTGAAGAGCTTGGGTTGTGCCATGCACATTCCGCAGAGAGCGGGCCTGCGAGCTCCTCGTTGAAATGGTACAGAGTGGTTTCCCCAGAGAACAGCACTCGGAGGTTCAGAAAGTGAGAGATCTTTCCAGGGACAGTTCTGGGGGGCCAAGCCAGGGAGGTGGGGACTGGCCACAAAGAGGAAGCGTGACGCTGTCGGGTGCCTTTCCTGGGGGGGGGCGGGGGGGGCAGGTACGGAAACTGGAGGGAGTTGGATTAACCGCACTGGGCCGCCCGGCCAAGGCGTGCTAGTCCCGTCGATTTCTCCAAAGGGGCCCGAGAGTGACCCCGGTGCCGTGGTTCTGGCCTGAGCCACAGGCACATGTCTTCCCAGGGGATGTTCCCGGGTACGTGGGGCCCGTCACCCCGAGATGCTTCCCTGTCCTGGCCACCGCGAGGTGCCGTCCAGTGCAGCCTGAGGGGCCTGATTTGCATTCTGTCTTCATGACAAGATGAGCTCCGCTTATTAAAAACTTACCTTGTCACTGCAGTTACCATTATTTTCCAGACTCGAGGCAGGGGAAGTGGAGGGAAAAACCCAGATAACTTTCCCAGGAAGGGCGCTGCTGGGCCCAGCGCATGGCTCCGGGCCTGTTAATTACCGTGGAGCAGCGGTTCTCAACCTGTGGGTCGCGACCCCTTTGGTGGTCAAACGACCCTTTCACAGGGGTCGCCTAAGACCATCGGAAAACACATAGATAATTAAGTATTGTTTTTGTGATTAATCAATATGCTTTAATTATGTTCAATTTGTCACAATGAAAATACGTCCTGCATATCAGATATTGACATGACGATTCATAACAGCAGCAACATGACAGTGATGAAGTAGCAACGAAAATAATGTTATGGTTGGGGGCCACCACAGCATGAGGAGCTGTATGAAAGGGTCGCGGCATGAGGAAGGTTGAGAACCACTGTGTGGAGTGATGATAATCTCTCTCTTGCCTCCTGGTCGCTGCGCACGTAGGACAGTCAGCCCTGAGCTCAAGTCGTACGCGCTGGGAGTCCTCTTCCTGCTCCTCCGCTTGCTGGGTACGTACCCTCCTTATTCCCCCAATAACGCGTCGGATGCTGCGGCCCCGGTGAGTGGGTATCAGTGAAATGGTCCCGTTGCTTGAATTTGTCTTTTTTTTTTTTTTATGATGTTTCATTATAGAAATGTTAGAGATCTTATAACTTGAAGTATGCATTTTGCCCAGGGTTTAGACCTCAATCGGGAAGTGGCAAAGTTTTCATTCACGTCAACTCTGATTTCTCCTGGGCATGAGGAGGAAGAAGTGATGGCACCAAAGTGGGGGAAAGTGATGGTGTCATTTGGCACCTTCCTAGAGCAACGCGAGCATCCTGTGACATGCTTCACTTGTGGGGCTGCTGGCTAGGAGGGTGGGGGCGGG